CTGTGCCTGCGTCTGGGCTGCTGTCTCACTGGGACTTTCTGCTGTGGACTCCATCGTGTCCCCCAAAATTCGTATGTTGAAACCCTAATCCCCAATGTGACTGCATCAGGTGTAAGGTCTTTGGGAGATAATGATGGTCCTGAGGGTGGGGCCCTAATCCAGTAGGAGTGGTGTCCTTATAAAATGGGAAGGGAGCTCACTCTCCCTCTCTCCCTACCGCGTAAGGACACAGTGAGGAGGCGGCCATCTACCAGTCAGGAGGAGAGCCCTCACCAGCACCCGGCCTGCGGGCACCTGCTCTTCCAGCCTCCAGGACTGTGAGAGAGTAAATACTCCGTCTGTGGTACTTTCCTCTGGCAGCTGGAGCGCACTAAGACACTCCTGTATTGTTCAGGAATTCTCTCTTCGGCTGTCATGTGTCCATTCTGTCCGCTGAGGACATACTTCCTTTTCTGGGCTCTTAAAGAGTCCAAAAGAAGTGCTTTTGGGTTCTTTATAAAACAAGCCTTTTTTATGCCAGTCTGTTTTCATTATTTCCATTTCTTTTAAATCACTTTACTCAGTAATCATCCATTTTAAGCATATTTGTTTTATGGTCACACACTAAAGCATTCAGCCTTGCCCACAGGGAGGTCTGGCATTTGTTCTCGAGCCCTGGGAGGTAAACTCCAATGCCTTGAAATGTCCTGCCTGGTAGGAGTGTCTTTGTTCACCTGGGGACCTTGGGTCACTGGATAGTTTAATGGGGTGATTTAGGGTGGGGGCTTTGGGGCAGCTTGACCTCTAGAGGGTTTGAGGCGGAGGTTGGCCCCGTGGGCCATCAGCCATGTCTGTGTGAGCCCCGGTGAAGGCTGGCGTCCAGGCCCGGTGAGCTTCCCGGTTGGCAGTGTTGTCACAGAGGGCTGTGGAAGTTAGTGCTTGGGGAAGTGAGGGCTGGCCATGAGCCCACAGGGAGGGGACAGCTGGAAGCTCTGGGATGGGAACCTTCCTGGACCACACCCTCTGTGCCTCATAACCTTGGCTGATTTTCATCTGCAGCTATAAGAAACGATAACCTTGAGTCCACCGGCTCACTGGGGGATCTGCGAGTCCTTTCAGGGAGTTATGGAGTCTGAGGTGGTCTCAGGGAAACCTCCCCGCTGTAGTTGGTGTCAGGAGCGAGGGTCCTTGTGGACTGTGCTGGGCTCCTAAAGGGCCTGTCGTGTGGGCAGCCCTGTGCCACTGCTGGGTCGGCCTCTCCTGCCGGTGGAGCCTTCTGCTGCCGTGTGTTTGGGCCCGGAGCTCGCTTCAGTGGAAAGTGTATCCCGCAGGCCTGCGTGGTGCTCCAGTGTGTCACGGCGCCTTCAGTGTGGCTCTGGTGGAGCTTCTGCTGCTGTGTGCTTGGGCCTGGAGCTGGCTTCAATGGGAAGTGTATCCCATAGGCCTCCTCTGTGCTCCGGGGTGTCACGGCGCCTCTTCAGTGTGGCTGTTCGTGGGTTCGGATTTGATTCCTGCAGATGCCCAGGGTTTCCCCGTGGCTTGGAAGCAGCTTCCTGCCATTTCTTGCTTGTGGTTCCCTGCCTTGTTGGTCGTGTACTTTGGGCCGTACACCCTGCGCTCTGCGGATGACCGTGAAGGCGGGGACAGGAACGCACTCCCGGTGTCCACACCCTGTGTGCTCCCCTGCCTTCTCTCCCCACGCTGAATTCGGGCCTGTCCACGTGACACCAGCGAAGGCAACATGGAGCTAACAGAGGCCTGCTTGCCTGGGTGACTTGTCCCCTCTGAACACTGCCGTCACCATGTGAGGGAGCCTGTCCTGACCCCTTCAGGATGGAAGAGGACAGGGGAGAACGGCCCAGCCGTAGGCCACCCTCCATCAGACACAGCCCCTGAGTGTACCAGGCAACACCAGCAGAAGACCCCCCAGGCCAGCCCCCGGAAGCCACTGCGTTTTGTGGTGGCTGCTTCTACAGCATTAGATAATGGGTTCAGTGGGTTTCCCTTCCTCTTACCCAAGCACCGGGCTCTGCTCAAGCTTTTCTATCCCCCTTAATGGCTATGGCAGGGGTCTTGGTCCCACCTCCCTGTCTTTCTAGGGTCCCCTGGGCCTGTATCAGGGACTGGAACCCTGGTGAGCCCCTGAACCATATCTTGCCTGTGTGCACTAATTTCTCTTTGGTTTCTGGCAGCTGGGGAGCCCCTTTCTTTTGATCTCAACTAAGTATTTTAACAAGGTGACTTTTGGCCGGGTGTGGTAGCTCACGCCTGTAATCTCAGCACTGTGGGAGGCCGAGGTCAGGAGTTCAAGGCCAGCCTGGCCAACATGGTGAAACCCTGTCTGTACTAAAAATACAAAATACAGGCCGGGCGCGGTGGTTCAAGCCTGTAATCCCAGCACTTTGGGAGGCCGAGACGGGCGGATCACGAGGTCAGGAGATCGAGACCATCCTGGCTAACACAGTGAAACCCC